AATGGTATTATAGGAGATTGTATTTCATAGTGCTGTTTAGGAACGGTAAGCTTTCGGATTTTGCCTCGAATGGTACACCATGGTAAACCTGATCGAACGCCATGATTTTTTCACAGATCTACGTGCCGCAGTGTCTAGTTTCAGAAACTGAAAACCGCAAGTCTGTAGCATTCACCGTTAAAAAGTTATAAGCGAAATATCGGAGTCCATTATATTTTGATACAGATAGTAGTCAAGATTCAAGAATGGTCAGAAAGATGGTATTTACCATTAAATCCTTTGAAATGTGAGTCTATAACATTTTCTACGAGACAAAATCGGAAAAATGTTTCTTCTCTCCCAACACTTCTTCTGTATAATTCTCCGATAGAAGAAAAGGAAGAAATAAAGCATTTAGGGTTAATGTTTACTGATGATCTAACATGAACTACCCATAAAATAAAGTTTATTTTAAAACATCTTCGATAGTGGGATGGATGGAATATTATAAACATGTATTATTTAAAAATGCACTAGAAATTATCTATAAATCATTTATTTGAACAATTCTGAACTATGGTTGTATTATTTACTCCTTAACTATTATGGCTTGAATAAATTACAAAGTGTGCAATATAAAGCAGCAATTGCAACTGTAGATACGATGAAAGGAACATTAAGAGAGAAAGTGTATGAAATATTAGAGTGTTTCTCTCTGAAAGATCATTTTCGAATTTTACGACTATTAACATTTTCTAAAATCGTGATAGGACTCACTCCTGGTTATTTGTCTGTGTATTTATATGTTCGTCAACTGAACGAAAGGTATAATTTACGTAGTAATCGAAATACAACTATCGAAACAGTGAGTAATACTTCTAAAGAATTTTTTGTAGTAGTGACTGAAGAATGGAATAGACTGGTATTAAAAGATCCTAGAATTTTGAGAATGAAGGTTGCTCATGTGAGAGTAATTTTAAAAAATCAAGTAACTCCAACCGGAAAATTTTCTAAACGTTTTAAGTTTGCCACAAGAAGAGAAGAAATAATATTTATGCGTATTAAGAGTGAATTTCCACCTTTAAATCATTATCTATACAAACGAAAATGTGTCGATTCACCTTGGTGCACTTGTAGAGGTGGGAGGGAGGATATTGTACATTATTTTTTCAACTGTTCACTGTATAATACTCAAAGAATTCTATTTACACAGAAGCTGAATTTTTTAAATGAAATTACACTAGATACTTTTCTACTAAATAATTTACAGTTGGATGAGGACGCACAGTGCACTGTTTTGAATGCGGTCAACTGCTATATAAGTGGAACGAAATCAGATGGAAGAGATTCGAAAACTAGCGGCACTTTATTTTAAATTTCACCAGGTTTTTTTCCAAGAATGTCAGTCACTACCACCCCGTCTGTCTGGGCCATTATCACCTCACATCTTCATTTTTCTCCAACTTTCTTTTTTAGGTTGTTCGTTATATTATCAACCTGTATTTTATTTTACCCTTACATACTCTAGTATTCGTATTCAGAGCTAGGCCTATAATGATTTTTTCGCAGGCCTTATTTGAAAAGAATCCATAAAGATATAAACAAAAAAAAAAAACGACTGCATTCTATTTTGAAATGGATAGTAGTAAGTTATTTTTCCTTCAAACTGCACATTCAAAATCATGAGTTTGATACAAAAAGATGCAGAATTTTCTGCTCCATAGAACTACACTACCTTTTACATAAAATGATTGTTTCATTGAGATACAACGAAGAAAACGTGAAGAGAAAAGGTGGGTTGCAAAACCATCTACTTCACAAATAAGTCACCTCTATTAATCAACTTTCTGTGTTGTGTAAACAAACGATTGACATCATCAGAAACAGAGGATCTAAAATTCTTCGATTCAACATTTTATACGATGAATAATCATGATAATTTACTGAGTGCAGGCTATAATTGGCATATATAGTACGCAGAGCATTCAAGGATTCAAAAGAAAGAAAAATCCTAGTGAAATATATCTCATATACTATGCTGTTAGTGGATTTAAATTGTCGTTTTTTTTCACATCTTTCAACGAAATAATTATAAAAGTTATTATTTGTTGAATGGTGTTCTTATCAAAATCTGGGTAATCTCAAGACCAATCTTGTATATTTCAACAGCACAACGAGCAGATTTTACTTTTGCAGGTTAAAATAAATTTCTGCTTGTTTACGATATATATTGTATAACGATTGAAACCGTGCAACCATACTTTTCGTCTATGTCTATGCACATGCACTTTTGCTAGAGTAATCTCTGTACGATGTGCGATATTGAGTAAACTTATGAAAAAATATATTATCGTCTCCTATGTCTAGAACTTACTATCAATACTCTTATCCCTACTACTTAGGAGAAGTTCTATGAGAGATGCCACCAAATGTCAAATCACTCTTTGAATAAAAGACATGTAGACCTACGTAGTTAACGGTATATGATAATCCGTCTTTCTATATGCGTCTGAAGACTTGCTTCTAGAAAACCAGCTCTCCATATACTACACTTTTTCACTCAATAGAAAATTCTGAGATCTCTAATTTATAAAGCAAGTTGGGTTACCTATATCAATAAATTCGTTTGACTATCAGCTGAGTTCTGATAGAGGTATAAACATTTCAACTTCAGATCTTCCTAAACAATCATCCCAGACACAGTGCTGCTGAAAATATTAAAAAAATAGCAGAAAAAATTTGTTACGTTGAAAAAATTTGTTTACGTTAGACGTGAAATTCAGAAATGATAGTGAAATTTATTAGACTTGGGTTTGAGTCGCGAGCAATTCTTTATTACATTTATCTTCTATACAAAAAGTGGTTTAACCCATGAGCATTTCCTCATTAGAGTACAGTATGTTCTACTGTACTACATTCAGTTGTTAAGGGTAATTCTAAATTGTTAGTTAACAAAAGAACATTTTTCGTTAATCAATCTGACACAGTCTTTCAGATTTGAAAACCTTGATGGTACGACATGCCATTTTTTGGATCGACTTCTCAGATTTTTCACAACAGGTTGTCTAAATGATGATTAATCGTCTACACGAATGAATATTTTTAATCATGACGAAAAATAGTCACGTTTCCATACGTCAAAATCCTTAATCATAATTAGGGCTGACGTATGGGCGTAATGTTAACTAGTAAACACTGTTTTGGACATAACATATTAACTCAGGGTAAAACTTTATGAGATATACATACTGATTTTCGTCTCTCAAAATATTTAATAAGATTTTGAAAAAATCCTTTTAGTCACACACACACACTCGCACAAATTAATTTTCCAGCATTCATTTTGGCTGACATTTACAAACATCATGGATGATGGAAAATAAATATTCAAAAATGTTAGGCAGATACAAAAAACAATTCAAAACTTTGATCAAGATTAATTTTTGATTATTATAGGCAACTGTATTGAAAGACATATTTTTACTGCAAACGGAAGGTAAGATTTTGCTTTTCGACTTTCAGACAAAGATAGTCTTCTCACCATTTTTCTCACGTTTTTCCAACGATGTGTAACACATGCAAAAACCTTTTTATTAATTTGAGGTAAACTTCTAAAGCTACAAACTGACGTCAACGACTATTGCACCCCTTCTTTGCCTTTTCGGATCTATTACAATACGAATGGAGCCATAAATTAATTCAACGGTTGAAATCTTATCCAAGACGGAATCTCCACTAGCGTTGTCAGATGGTCCCCATTTTGCGGACAAATTCCGCTTTCTGTAGTTTTTCTCCAGTGTCCGCTGTCCACAATTTTTTCGCTTTCAGCGCATTTTTGTTCTTACCCTTATTCCTGCAATTTTTACATTTTCTCATAAAAAATGGTTGAATGACCTCACTAAACAAATTTCTTGCAAGTTTTATAAAACAAATGCGCATCCACCTAAGCCCAATATCGATTCAAAATGGGATTGCAACGATATTTTGTACTTATTCTGTGTTTCTTAAGTAGAATCACCATAAAGCGAAATTTTTTTTTTAATCATTTCCGTTTAGTGAAAAATGAACTAATACACAAAAAAAACGTTTTCGCTTTTTTCCGCATGTTGGCAAAAATTCCACTTTGTCGACTTTTAATTCCGCCTAAGCGTCTGGGAACTGATCCCCACACTAATTTCTTGATTTAATTCAAGGCCAATTCTGAGATTTAATGCAGTACAGATTTAAAAAGAGGATCAGAGGACAAAATCCTATGAATACCACGGAATGGATTTACGAATAGAAAATTCTGAGACAGACCTCCTCTTACTCCACACATATTTCCATAAGAAAAAAATAAGACTAATACAATACAATACACGCCGTCTCAGATTACTAATTTATTTTATTTGAATAGATAAATAGACTAGTTGTAAAATGATGACTCGATTTATTTTTATTTACACACGAAATAGTAAATAAGATCAATAAGTACAAAAAAAATCAGAAAGAGAGAAATAACTCTAATTACAAATAAAACATAGTATCATATTTCGATTGATTTTGAAACAAACTCGTGCTATTACAGCACTAACAGAATCACCAATATGAATAGAGCAAGTGGTGAGCATATTAAAGGAGAAAGAGATTTAAACACGCGATAAATAGTAATTCAGTAACAAATCTATATACATACAAAAACGGCGTGCATATACCCAGAAAATATTTTTCGGATCAATCATTTTCATCAACGCATCATACTCACCCTAATTTCTAACTATTGTACGATTAGTTATATGACTGGTTTAATATCAAATTGTTTTTCTACTTTTCTTAATGTTTCAACTAATTTTTGATAACGTTTATCACATTCTTCTAATTTTTTTGCATTTTTTGAATCTTGTTCTTCATGAAGATCTTCATAATCGTAACGATTAACGGATTGCCAACTATTTTCACTATCTTGACTACTTGTATCATCGTTAACTATATTATTGGCAGACGCTGATGGAATTAAAACATCCTCTCTTTTTTCATCTTCATTTTTTGTCAACGGTATTGATGGTGTTTTAATGATTTTGATTGCAGTGATTATTTCTTCATTTTTATTATCAGGAGTGGTAGCTCCATTCGATTTTTCTTCATTTTTTGTTAACGGTGTTGTAGATGAATGTGAATAATCTTTTTTATCACTGAGAGCAGGAATCACGTCGCATTCATCAATGGTATAATAAAAATTATAAGATTCTTTGACGTTTAATTTTTTCTCTAAAATAGAAGGCATTATTAAGGAATCTATACACCAAGAGACCGTAGTTATAAGTTATCTACCAGTTCTAACCTCTTCCCTGCGACTACGTAATATTTGAATAGATGTCGCCAATTCTTTTTATAATAGACACAAACGTTTTCTGCGTTCTATTAGAGAACTAGCAAATAAGATATCTCTTTCCACATAAGACATCCCATATGCGGAGATTCGTGTCGATCGAAAAGAAAGAGAAGAGAAAGATAGGCATATGCGAAAAGAGATATCTTCTTATTTATTAGCTTATAGACTTCTCTATTAATTTTCCTTTCTATCCGTTCATTGAAACGAAACAGACATATGCTGTATTATATAGATAGATATGGAAGAAATAGTTCTATCATATTTTTATTTTCTTTCTTTCCGTTAATGTAACGTAACAACAGAGTAAATCTGGACGTCCACGCACTCTTCTCTGGTCAAACCTAGGCATTCAAAAAAGTTTATCCATATATCTCTACTGTCAGTGTGAAATTTCAAAATTTTGCGGTGACTGTACCGTTTGTAAACAGAAACTTATGAATGCCGTGATTTGACCTTCTGTTGCTTAGAGCAGCCATACTTTTAGCCTTTTACCCATTTTTTCTTCTCACAGCTAGTTTTTAAACAATGCTAAAGATCTTCTAATAACTCCGTTAACAGAGTAGAGAAAATGCGTCGATACTAGAAACATAACGACACCCGATTGGATAAATGCATATTAAACGAATAACTTACTTAAAAAACTTAATTGATTCAACAGTTCATCACCCGTTTTTAACGACAAAGCTAAAAATATATTACATATAGTAGAAAATAGAGATCTACGAATCGTACATGATCAACACAGAAACAAATTCAACGATCAGCTCTTCCTTTTCTCAGAAAACCAAGTTATTGCATTATAGAAAATGTTTTAATTTTACCTTTTGTTTCCTCTTTTAATGCTAAATGTTCACGATAATTTTCTAAAACTCGATCATGTCTATATTCTAAAAACGTGAGAATTTTGTCCAACGAAATATCTTTTTTCGACGGAAAATAAACGGTTGTCAATGCAGCTTCTAAAACAGAGAAATATCATGTAGATTAGTGTACACACAAGCTAAATATAACTTACGTAAAAATGTCCATTTTTGTCTAAGATTAATTAATTCATCATAAAAACGATAATTTGAAAAAAAAATTTCATTTTTTGTTTGTTGCTCTGTTACATTTGATTTTTCATTGATTTTACCAACATGATCAAACATATTGTAAGCATATTTCTTACGTAAATCCATTATAACATCAGCTGAAAGAAAACATTTATAGAGTTTGAATGGACTGTATCGTATTATGAGTAAACTATTAGACATCCCTAATTTTTACCTGTTAAAAAAATATTCCCATCCAATTTCTCTTGTAGTAAATTTTTATCATTATCAAATTTGTCTAAACATTCATTTAATCGACTTAACTTTGTTTGACGACGATTATCTATATATTGATAAATATTCTTCGAAGCATTTAATATTCTATTTATAGCATCATCAACAAGTTGTTTAGCTTGCTCTTTCGCATCTTGTGCTTGTTTATCAATAAATTTGACAATATCATCGACACCTTGTTTTCGATTTTTAACCATTTGTGAATGAATCGATGTCATGTCATCTATGATGTGCGTACGATGTGACATAAAACATAGATAACAATACTGTTGAGCACAATGACGGCAAGTAATTTCTGGATGTTGACAACACATTGTTTGAGCACAACTCGGTGTTAGATTTGTAATCGAACGAGCTTTGTCTGACATAGAAATTGTGGACGATCGACAAATAGAAGACATTTATTTTTAATATAGAATCAATAAATCTACAACAATAGAAAAGATTTTAGTCGACAGTGTTTAGCCATTTTGTATTTCTTAATTTGCAATTATATCTGAAGAGTTTATTATGTGCCGTAGACATTCTACTAAAACAGATTGACAGAAGTTTAGAATGCTTCCCCTGATAATACGTTTTGATTAGTTATGTGAAATAACGATGTGTGAGATTTTAACAAAATCTTAATCATAATCTACACAATTAACTTATTATTACTAATAAATGACTACTTGTCGAAGCACTACTTTCTCTTAAAACTTTAATTCTCATCTCTCACCAGTCCAGTTGCTACCGAAATCGGGTGTTCATTGCATCTATGTCCACAGGTACCGAGTATCAAATAGCTTGTGTAAGACTATCAGGCGGTCGTCGTTGCTGGAATTCCTCCTAGGTACGTTGTCGATCGACTAAGTCACCCTGTTAACGAAACAGTATCCTTTTCATATGTTCAGGTATGTTGTGAAGGACTAAATGAAAATATGCCAATTTGACGTTTTAAGGCAATTTGTTAGTACTCTGTTCGACGTGTGAAACGTTAAAGAAACGTATGTAAAAAAAGAAAGAAATTATTAAACATCTGACAGGAAAACACTCTGCAGTTATTTTGGATGGTTTTTTATTATAAAAGAGAGATTGGGAAGGTCAAATGGCAGCCAATAGTGTAAATCTTGAACCTGACATCGAATTCACTTAGAGAAAATTCTATCAAGTATGTAAATTACTAGAAAGTAGAGAATTACTAAAGGACACAAAAAAAACTGTCGGAAACATTTCTGTTCATAATCCCTCACCACAAATGAACTCCAAGCTCTTCGTAAGGTATATCAACGTAAAGCATGTATATCCATGTCCAGGAGTCACGAAAGAGTTTTTTCCGCGACCCTAAATGAACTTACTGTTGTTGATTTGCGACTGTTTCTCTCAAATGAGTTAGAAGTTCTCGTTAACTTTCGGAGATAGAAATACGTGATAGAAAATACGTTAGTTTCAAGTTAAAATAACAAATGAAAACGTGTTTGTAGTCTATACTTACAAGTGAAAAACAGCTGAATTAAAAATGAGTAGCCGCGATGTTAGTTAAGTCGAATTGATTGCGTACGTGCGAGTTCGTTCAATACTTTCTTATATACTCACAGTGCGATACATAATCTGTATTATTAGACCATAAACAAAGAAGAAATTTTTCGTTTTTTTTCGTACTTTGAACGTCAGAAAAGTCTATCTTATATACGTATATATAAATACAAGATAGAAGAAAAAACAATAACAATACGCAAAAAGAGAGAGATAAAACTGCGATGATGACGATCATTGTCCGACCATCGTGCTGTCTGGACCCGTGATAATCTATATTGTATTCTTTTTTTCGTTCTCTTACATCAGTTTATATGTAATTGTGTTCATCATTGTCGATTGATGGCTCATCCATAACAGGCAGACCAAGAAGCTGTTACAACAGTGAACATTAAAACCGTTCAATTTTAAACAGTTAGCTGAGATATGATCATTAAGTACAAATATAAATTTAATACCCATTAACGTAGAGTATCTATAGTATGCAGAGAGCGAAGAAGAAAAGTGCAGTTATGTTCCATGAAAATGTCATTGTCTGATCCTAGCAACAGAATCAAGATGTTTTTTCTCCAACTATAAACCCATTCTTGCAGTTATTGTTCGATATTGATCTTGTTTCATTTCAACCGTACATAAGTCGATGGAACAGAGAATATATTTAAAAGATTCGAAATATTTTTGTATCAGACGAGAAGGTATTACTGCAATAAATCCAAGACGAATAGATTAGGAAAATATTAATGGCTTGCTTTTCTTCTACTAGTAGCGAAATATTCTGACTGTTAACAAGTCGCCTGTTGAAAATTGTTAACTCTACAAGAATCATACCACAGGAACAAGAAAAATAAACATATCACCGATAAAAAAAATTAAAGTTTGTTTAGAGTTGAAGAAAAGTGCTTTTTCGTATTCAGCACACCTGATAACCTGGAAAATTTTCTATTTTTAGCGAGGGGTACTGTCAAAAAGTTAAGAAAAATTTTCAAACAAATTGACGCAGAAAAATCCCCATGGTAAAATTAAACAATTTTAAAAATTTTTCTTAACTTTTTGGC